TTTGCAATTATCAATGTAATCAATCAGCTGGGTAAGTAAGGTGATAATTAGTAGTAACATTTTTTTACCCTGTTCACCTGCAGTGTCTCGCCTTAAAGCCAAAGCAAATCAATGCTAGAAACTTTAAACTGACCAGCAGTTTCTTCTGCTTGTGTGCACTTCCCTTGTTCTGAAATGCAAAATTCATGCTCTTTTACACTTTGAAACAACATTTAATGTTTCATGTCTACATTCATTATGAATAATGTGCCTTGTGATCTGGGATGCTTCACTCTTTTGTCTGTGGAGACGCCAGATGACAAACCCTCACAGTCAATGGGTAACTCTCCTGAAATAAAGCAGAAATCCATGTTATATACTTAACGTTTACTAACACTTAAGAGCAGACAGATTTCTATTTGTTTCTGTTGACTAACTTTTCTGTAGTCAGGGAAACATGCGGCTGTGAATGTGTCTCATTTGTTGCATACAGCAGTTTTTTCATGCATTACTAAAGCAGAAACCCATTGTTTGCATTGCAGTAAATCTCTCGTGTTTTCAGTCACAGACTTTGGTATCGCCGAGCTGCCCAACGCTCTCAATGTGCTGGAGGAGAAACTGTCAGAGACGGAGCGCAAACGCAGACACGCCAAGAAAGACGACTACAGCATCGAGGTGCTGCTCGCCGTGGACGACTCGGTCGTGCGCTTCCACGGCAAAGAGCACGTGCAGAACTACGTCTTGACGCTGATGAACATCGTAAGTGACTGATTTAGAATCAGAATCAGAAAGAGCTTTGTTGCCAAGTGTGTTTACACACACAAGGAATTCGTCTTGGTGTCAGGAGCTTCCAGTACAGAAAGTACAAACATAGTGCAGACATACAGTAGATATAATTAAAGGGGTGGCTGATTGCGATTTCACTTTTTTAACGATAGCTAGTGTGTAATGTTGCTGTTTGAGCATAAACAATATCTGCAAAGTTACGACGCTGAAAGTTCAGTGCAAATGGAGATATCGTCTTTAAAAATTTTGGCAGTTTAATGCCTACAAAAACAGCTCGTAAGGACTACAACAAGTTACTTCCCGGGTTTGTGACATCACAAACCCTGATAAACCCCGCCCCCGGGAACATGCAACAAAGGGGGCGTGGCCACATTGCGCAGCTTTAGAGAAGAGGAAGAGTTGTTGCCATGCCGACAAAACTACGGCTGCACGAAAACATCTATTCATATATGAATCGCGTTTCTGTCTTCTAACGATTCTACACTGAAAAAATTTATTAATTGAATTTACTAAATTTTTTAAGGTAAGTGGTTGCAATCAATTTATTTTAGCTACATTTAAATAAACAAATTTAGTTGACTAACTTTCAACATTTTTTTATTAAATGTATCTAAAATAAATAGTTTGCAACCACCCAATGTTTAGACGAGCACTAGAGGCAGTTTAGCCAATCACGGCACACTAGGCCAGCTGACCAATCAGAGCCCATCGCCTATTTCTGAGGGAGGGGCTTCATAAAAGCAGGAAATCATCAGCGCGTTTATAGGAGAAGGGACAGAGCGGTGTAGAATAACGGTAAATTATGTGAAAAATAATGCGTTTTTTTAAAAACAATGTTAGACTGCACCCCATAAACACAATCAAGCCTAGAAAAAAAAGTCAAACACGCCTTTAAGGTAATAAAAACACAATAATAATAAAGACAATAGATTAGACAATAAATTATAAATAACAATAGTAATAAAAATATAGAGAAAAAAAATGTCCATGGACATCATACAGATGAAGGTTGATGAGTTATTTACAGATGTACAGTACTGAGGTGTGTTATGCATGTGTTGTTCAGGCTGAAGATGAAAAACGGTTCTTGTGCCTGGCTGTTTTGGTGCTCAATGCTCTGTAGCGCCGGCCAGAGGGCAACAGTTGAAAGAGAGAGTGGGCTGGGTGTGATTTTCTTAGCCCTTTTCCTCACTCTGGAGGGGCACCGATAATCCTCTCAGCAGTCCTGACTGTCCGCTGTAGTCTCTTGATGTCTGATTTGGTAGTTGAACCAAACCAGGACACAGGACAGACTCAATGATGGCAGAGTAGAAAAAATGCACTGTAATTGCCCTTTTTCTGCTTGATTAGTTTGGTTCTCAAAGCAAATTTGCACACAACATCTCCCACGCCAGCTTAAAGGAACCCTGTCGTGACTCTGTGCCCACGGTTCACTGCTCTTGACCCCGCAGCACACCTCTCAAGCGCTGTGTCTGCGGGAGGATTACTAGAGAGAGAACCAGAGAAAAGACCACGTCCCACCAGGTCCTGCCACCTTAATCTGCTTACGTTCGCCAATCCCTCCAGTCAGATTTTCACAGGGAGCCGGTTTCACTCCGTAACTGTTACCGTTAGGACCGCGGCGGTGGGCTGATCCACACACTAGACCGCTGACTGACCTGATGGAGACACACACACACTCACACACACACACGCGCACACGTGTGTTATAATATATGTTAGTGTCTCTCTCTTTCTCTCTCTATATATATATATATATACACACACATTAAATACAGTTATAAATACATAAAATATTTATAATATATTTATAAATATAGACATTCCATATATTCTTTATATATTATATATATTTTTATGAGTATTCTATATAATAGCTGATATATAAAAAATATATATAGTAAATACATTTTATATATAAAATTATATATTATTATTATTATAGATTAATTCAAATATAAAGAAGAACAAATTAAATATTTATTAAGATTATTAAATAAATATATTAATCAATATATTCTTTGTATATATATATATATATATACATGCAGTACATTAATATAAAAGTATATCTGTCTGTCTATCTAGCTATCTAGAGAGAGAGAGAGAGAGATGTAGATACAGATATATATTTAAGAAAAGATGACCCAGACCTCATTTAAATCTACATGAAAAATCATAAAAAATCTAGGAAGTGTTTTCTCTATTTTGACGTTTATTTTATTTTAACTATGCATGTTTATACAGTTCATTGCATTGTATTATTTGCATTTAGCATAATTTTTTCTGCTGTCAGCGACCTGTCAGAACAGACCTGTGACCCATTTTTGTAACCACAGGTTTCCTTCATTTCAGAGTCATTTGTGTCGTGGACGATGTTCCCAAAGGGAGGTTTTTAAGATTCTGCTTGCTTCTAGTGACAGTTTTGTCCTCAAATTATAGCTAAACACACACATTCATAGAATCTCTGGAGTGTTAGTTTTTGCGCTGTGCTTTATGGAGCAAGAGACAATGTGTAAAGAAATCCAAGAAAATGCTTTTTTTGTCTTTGGCTGATCAGCCAGTGTTTGCTTGTTCAGAGCAGGATTTAGACATTTAATGAAGTTTTAGACCTTTTCATGTGGTAACACTTACAATAAGCTCTCATTTATGAATGCATTAATGAACTAACAATGGTAAATATGTGCTTTTTACAGCATTTATAAATATTTGTTTCTGTTAGTTAATAAAAATGCAATTCTTTATTGTTTGTTTATGTTAGTTCACAATGCATTAACTAATAATAATAGATATAACATTTGGTTTAAAAAAAAGTGCATAAGTAAATGTAGAAATTAACATTAAAATAATATTAACAAATGCTATAGAACTATAGTTCATTGTTCATGTTAACTAATGTTAATAAATGAGACCTTTGTGTAAAGTTAGGTATTTTTACCTGTTATAGTTAACTAAAAGTAAAAGGAAGCATATTTTCATTTAGATTAAATAAAATTACTGAAGATAAAATAAAATAGACATAAAAAACTAATAAAATACTAGGTTACACTTTATTTTAAGGTGTCTTTGTTACAGTGTAATTATAGGTTAGGTTTAGGATTAGGGTTTGGCTTAGGGTTAATTATGCATAATTAATTGGTATTATAATAGTAAGTACATGTAACGTGTAACAAGGATACCTTAAAATAAAGTGTTACCAAATACTAAAGCGTAAAAATGAATATAAACACAGAAAGTAAAAAAATAAAAACTAATTCAAATGATTGAATATGTATATATTATCTATGTGACCCTGGAGCACAAAACCACATTACTAATCAAAAATTAAGTTTTGATATATTTGTGGTAGGAAATTTACAAAATATCTTCATGGAACATGATCTTACATGATTGATAATTTTGACCCATACAATGTATTGTTGGCTATTGCTACAAATATACCCCAGCGACTGCTTTGTGCTCCAGGGTCACATATAAGCAATGTGAAGGAACTGCTTCATCATTATTGGTTCCTATCACTCTGCACTTTGCGTTAAGCTCCTCTGCTCGGCGTTGTGGGTGTTGTACCACCTGGAGACTGATTTTTGGACAGATGGACAATGCTTGTGTTGTTGCATGTGTTGAGAAGCAGCCCAGTTTTGTCCTGCGTTGGTGTGATGCTGTACTCCGGCGAGAGATGCTCAACACCTTCAGAGAACAGCTGCGTTTCTCATCATCATACGAGCAAATCAACATGTGTTCGGCATTCTTATATCAGGAGATTAACCTCAGTCAAAACATTTGATAAGCTGCCACATGCTCATTAAACTAGATTTGAAACTTTTTTGCAGAACCGGTCGCAGGTCAGTACAGTTCATGCAGGTTTGTTGCGTTAGCAGTCATATTTCTGTCTCTAGGCTCCGTTCACCTCCTGTCAGAGCAGAGAAATTGTGTTTTTATGCAGGTGGCTGTCAGGCGTTTGCCTGTGACTGATGGCCTGAAATGTGTATGTGTGTCACGTAGAGACTGAGATGGCTTTCCAGAGCTGCAGGTGAGCTCACTGGGGCCTTCTGCCGTAAATAAACACAAACGAGCCTCTCGTGAAGGTTGTCGGACTGGGTCGCACCTCATAAATTGGCAAACACGTTTGCAAATAAGAAAAGCGCACGCTTTCATCTCGTTTGCATGCATGTCTTCTTTGGTGCTGACATCAATCTGCAGGACACTTATTTTATTTTATTTCAGGTTTATTTGACAGGGACAATGCACATCAACAATACATAAATGCACAATGTGCCAGAATTAGCCAGAAGGCTATTTTGCATCTGCAGTCCCTGGACTGATGGTAAAATTGTCAAAAAAACTTGAAAGAGTCTGAATCAAAACATCCGCTTGCATCATTCCAGGCAAGTGTCAGCATGCTGGGATGCCGATTGCATCATGCCGAGTCTGTGACCCAAACCTGGACGTAATTACAGTCTGTGTGCGTTTTCCAGATGCAGGGAGTTTTTTTAGCTAGTTGTGAAGTTTGTTGCATTGCTGACAGACGTATCGGAACTGGCTTTTTCATATCCTAATTTGTTAAACAGAACAATCTCCTTCTATATTACACTTAAAAGAAATCAAAATCGATTGTGTTTACTTACAGTGAACGATTTATATTTATAATGCAATGTGTCTTTGTAATTTTACATAAAAACAGAACTCACTCTGCATTTTAAAGTGTACTTTACAAACCAGCATGAGGCACAAGAGCAGAGCCGAGAGGAAATGACACTGTGCGTTTAACCTGAATGCATTTGTAAACTCCAGGATCAAGTGTTTGAATGTTCTGTCTTTCCTGATATATGGAAAAATCATCACGGCTGTTTTCCCTCTGGCTGCGTGCGCTCAGAGCCGAGGTTGTGCTGACATGTCTTGCAGACTGCAGTGAATCAGCTCATGGGGAAATATGAATAATTAATCATAACTAGTTAAAGTGCAAATGATCCCTAATGTATCAATTAATAAGACTAAGTTTGAATACTTGCACGTCTCGTCTGTCTGAAAGAAAGGCTTGATGCAGTCCAACGGTTCAAGGTGATCTTTGCTGAAGTTGGTTGATGAAAAAGAACCAGTTTGCGTCAGAGAATCTTGGTGAATGGAAAAGTCAAGGCCGAAGGCCTGGCACAAAACTTAGCGGGTTGCAGAAACATTCTAGCTCATGTCTTCATCTTAGAATCTACCCGAACCACCGACTCAGGGCGGGCCCCTGGTGCGAGGCCTTTTTAAGGTCTCGGAAGATTCCAATGCAACAGACAATATACAAGACAGCAATAATATACACAATGACCTGAAGGATATGTGTGTTCATTCAAGGAAAGGTTTTTCTATGAATTAATTAGTAGAAAAGTCCATTTCTACTGGGCATTGTGCCTTTTCCTTATGGAACATGCAGTGAGAGGGGGTAATTCTCAACATGCCATTAGGTTGTAAATGGATCTGGTCTAGCAGAGGTGTCGTGGTTGCTATGGGGACCAGGGGAGGCCTGGCGTCGTTGCAGACATCCTGGCATCCAGTTTATTGGGTGAGGGGACTGTGACGATTTGTTAATCTAATTAATAAATGATTTGTTAAATCAAATTTAAAATTGTGTGTTTGATTGGTCCAGACGCTACAAGACTGTACGGCAGCGATTGAACACGTCCAGATTGATGCAGCACAGAGTTTTGTTTAAACTCCACACCGGAGGCTCATTAACTGCGTGCCACGCATCAGACTTTGAGCCCAAACTGCATTTTTTGTAGGTCAGACATTTTTGGCATTGCATAATAAACTGTGGTAAAGTGCGCTCTTTTTTTAAAGACGATGTTGCACGAAATTCCCACCAGAATTAAATGGATTCAGACTTCACTGAGTTTAAAGGAATTGTTCGTTTCAGTTTTGTTGTGACTTTTTCATATGTGTCCTTGTCAGGGTTATTATAGGTAACTAAAACTAAAACTATTCACTTTTTTTTTACTTCAAATAAAGTAAACTTTAACTAAAATAAAATAAAATGTAAAAAAAACTTTAATTTCATTTATTTAAATTCATAAATTCATTCATAAGCCCCGTGAAGCCGTGGTTTACAGTGAATTTATAACAGCTAAGGGGC